CTACATGCAGCCGAGAGACTCAGGAAACCTCAGTTCTCAATCTTTCAAAACAAAGGCCCCTTGCTCTGGGGGACCCACACGTGGTGCCAACCTGCCCCCATCCTCCACCAGTTCAGAGGAAAGAAAGAAACAACAGCCTCAAACTCCAATAAGATTAAAATATCGTTCAAGGCCTAGGATTCTAGTCACTGCACCCAGCTCAGTGTTTCCAAGACTACCAAACCTGATCCCCCCAAACCCTTCCTCCAGGGATGACACCCCAGGATAGCCAAGCTCTCCTAGTCACAGCCTCTCTTTGGCCTGCTTCACAAAACAGGCTGCCTATAGTGATTCCCAACTGTTGTAGTCACTCTGCAGTAAAGCCTCACACTTAATGAAGGGCTCTTATAAGCACAATTCTAATTAGTATGAATTCCAATATTTTTATTTAAAATCTAGCCACTTAAAGTCAAAATGACATCTTAATGCCACTCAGCAGAGCAATTTTCCCAGAATAAGAAGAGAGCTTCATTTTCAGAAAGACTCCTAGATTTCAGACCGTACTTTTTTTAATTAGAATACATGGATTGTCTTTACACCTCTTCCTGAATATTTCATGTGTTTTGTGCCTTATTTGCTGTACATATCTTCACAGCGTGCATATTATTCAAATATTCCTAACAGATGGTCTCAAGCGCTACATATTATATAGCATTAAGTGAATAGCTTGGTAAACAAAAGAGTCAAAGAGTAAAATATTTTACAGCTTATAAATCATGAAAGATGTTCGATAACAGTACATTAACAACAAAAACTTTAATGTAAACATAAAAACATTAAATGCCTCTATTGGATCAGTCAACTGATTATGACAAATGAAAGATTTCTTAAAAGAGGTGCTTATCTTGTATGGTCTCAGATTATAACCTAAATTAATCTGAGGTAGGCAACTAGTTTCCCTGGGGGCCTGGCCCACTGTTGCCGTCTCCACCCACCCCCCTTGGCTTTCTCTGCCATGTTCCCCTTGTTAATACCTCCTTCATAACCAGGGCAGGAGAGGAAATTCATAAACCAATTTTGTTGGTCTTTAGCCTACCTGTAGCAAAATTTTGCTGAAAGAGGCTGAAACTACAGGTTCAAGTTGAGGATTCTTGAATCAGCTGTGATGTTGCTATTCTGTGCTCTCAGTCCCCTTTTAGCACTGAAGTTTCCATGAGGGTCTGCATGATGATTAAAAATAAATGAATAAGAAACCCCAAACCCGGGAACTTTTGCCAGTGCTCGGATGTTCTTTAATCCACATTTAGAACTATTAATGTTCTAGCCATTATCCCATGGAGGGATAAACAGCAATGCTACTCTCACTGCGGGTATTCTCTCTCATGCCACCCTTACTGTAATTACATTATTTAACTTAATGTGTAATGGCTACTTCCTAATCATTTCGTTTTTCTAATATCTGATGCAAGATCTAACAAGACTTTTTAAATTTCACTCTAGATTTCACTAGAAATGAGAACTCAACCCAGTTTTGATGGTGAAAGTAAGCTTTTTATGAACTATTTGACAAAATGATCGTAACTAGCAAAGTGACAAGGTGCCTGTTAAATAAAATCTCTCACCTAAAGTCAAAAGTTGGCTTCATTTGTTACATATTAAGGTTCATTATCCAATTTCACATATATATTCAAAACTTTATTGTACCATAATTACCTATGTAGCTGCATTCTCTTATTTCCTTTTCTGCACTTTTACCTCAGGTAAAGGCCTTTGTGAGGCTGAGAAAGATGCCTTCCTTAACCCAACTTGGCATAGACAATTGGGACAAAAGGAAAACATTCTCTCAGTTTTACATTAAGGCCCCCATGCATTTTTGCCTTTTCAACCACAATACCAAATCTTACTGCACAAGCAAAACATCATAGCAATGAATCAACAGGAATTTATGATGCATCTACTCTGCATAATGTATTGTGCATGCCTTATTATGAACATTTATCCACGTGAGGTTTCATCAGACTTGAAGATGAAGTCTAAAATGCAAAACAATAATTTCCTCAAAAAACTAAAAAACCAGGTACAAAAATAAATTCAGGGCTGGCAAGGAAAGTTGCATTAAGTCAAAAAAAGGATCTCTAAACTACACTAAGCTAAGGGAAAAAAAAGATTGGGGGGAGGGGCTCTATATTTGAAACAGCTTGTTAGAGTGCTTGTTAAAAGAGTTTTCAGGGTTCCACCCCAGTGTTTCTGACTCAGTGGGTCTGGAATAGGGCCTGAGAATTTACATTCTAACAAGTTCTCAGGTGATACTGACATTGCTGCTCTGGGGACAACACTTTTGAGAACCAGTGATCTAAACCATCTGTCTTTCCTAACCTGGTTGGAGTAAAAAAATATGGTAGAATTTTAAATGGCCAATGTACAATATTAAACAAACTATGGAATTAATCAATGGCCACTGAATTAATTGAAATAAACCCTCAAAAAAATCACATAAAGCACATTGACTTTTTATCACTGGCAACTGTATGTGATTTGACCTTAACACAGCACAATGTGATGTACCAAACTGATCTTTGGGACACTAATAGTTTTTACATGATTTCTACCAAAAGGCAAGGCCATCATAAGTGAGATGTTGGAAGCTCATAAGTACCACAGAAATGGCATACTGTAATAGACCCCATAATAACACTCCAAATGCTCTCAACACTAGAGCAGAGCTGTGGCCTTCAGACTGTAACTTGGATTACTTGTACTATTTTCCCTCTTAAAAGCAACTGTAATCAGGTTCAGGGACAGGCATCCCAGGGAGTCTTTTCTCTTTGTTGGGGTAAGAATGTTTAACCTGAGATCTACCCTCTTAACAAATATTTTAAGTGTACAATACAATATTGTTAACTATAGGCACCATATGTACCTATCTCTGGAACTTACTCATTTTGCATACCTGAAACTTTATAATACCCATTGAATAGCTACTCTCTCTCCTTCCCACCCACCAACAGCCTTTGCTGTGTCTCTGTCTTACATATCACACACCCTCCATGTGCCCCGTGACCAACACAGAATCATTGGTGGAGGAAGTAAGCCATAACTATACTCTGAACTTTCAGTTACGATGATGGTGATGATAGCAATGACTGATTGTACATCAGAAACAGTGACTAAGGAAGAGATTGAACACTGGTGGCCTTCAATTTTTTTTGTTTTTTTAAAAAATGAAATAGTTGCTAACACTTGGAAATTGTATCTCACATAAAGATCTGTATTTTCAAGTTTTTCTAGAAAGATAAAGTTCAGCAAGCGTGGCCTTCCCGATTTCTACATGGGCAGAATGAGCTGGAGCTGAACAGCTACTGGTCCCTTTTAGTGGGGGAAATGGGCTTCCCAGATTGCCAGTGTCCCCAATAGTTCCTACTCTTTTACACCTGGCCTGTCTTATTACCCACTGAACCCACCTAGCCCTGCAAACAGTAGAGTCTGTAATCCCTGCACTAAGCCTGGGGCACAAATAGGGAAGTTTCTTGGGAACTACAAACGACCTGCAGTCTCAGTCCCTACAGCTTTCTGTCACTCTCCAGAGCATACTCGCACACAAGTGACATTATAATAGTGATGGTCTTCACTCTGTTCCATTAAGAAAACAAATCATATGCGAAGTTTGGTACCAATATCTGTAACAAAATGGACTATATCTTAAATTTGACCGCCACAGCACACCCTAACCGAAAACCTCTGAGAGAGAAATTTGGTTTTGGCTTCCCAGTGTAAATTCTGGCTTTGGAATATGTCTAGCAAATGATGAAAGCTTTGAAAACTTAAGAACCTAATTTTAGGGTGTGAGGAATATAAGAATGGAATGAAGCACTTCTAGTTCATGTGATTCCTGGTATATAAAAATGTTGCTTTTAAGTATTGACTTTGTGAAAGAATGTTGTGAAAGAAAGTATGACATTTGTGGTATCATGCAAAATTTTGGGGGGAAAACAGAATGTGGGCATACAGGTCATGGGACCATTACTTTGAAAACTGAACAGAAACATTTCTGAGACAGGCACTGCATTAAAACAAAAACTATGTAAAAATGGCTACTTCAATATTATAATAACTTTCTACTCCCCTATTACCACAAATATCTTTGTCTCAGCAGACTAAGGGAAAATTAATGTATGTGCTGGGCATAGGCAGAAAGAAGAACAATCTAGAGATACATTGGGGGAAGTGAAGGGATACATTAGATGGACCCTAAGAAGCTGAGAGCAATTAGAGACTAGGGAGGTGCTCAGACTTGCAGGGAAATCCCTTGTTTCAAATGTGTGTGATGTATGTCCAGGACTACATATGGATCACACCTCAGAATCCAGAATCCTGGAACTGCCTAACCCACACTCACACGCACACCATCCCAGGCCCTTGGATTCCTGGTTCCCAGACAACACCCTGGACGGACAGGTGGACACATGGACTGCTATGCTGAGAGGGCTGGAAGTGGTGATCGACTGGTGATTTCTGCCATGAGCTGGACAATAAGAACTGGTGAGAAATGCTGTGGGTTTGCCAACTCAACACTACTCTTTGAGTTCTATCTACATATAGATTTTTCATTAGTTGTCTTAAATTTCCTCTGAAAGATTGAATAGTCCTTAGCTCACATAATTGTTGTGAGGAACACATGAAACGATGCATAAATATAAAGCCCTGAGCAAAGGCTTTAGCCTCTATGTAAATACCCAAATGTCATTCTCTACCAAACCATAAGCTCTGTGCCTACAAGAGGATGTCTCAGACAGAAAGAGCATTCACACACTGATGGGAGAATGTTCTAGGTAAGTAGCAACCACTCTCTGAGTGACTTCTCAAAACTATTTTCATGGTGAAGTGGGTTTGTAGGTCTTCCAGAATACTTGCTGCCATATGTCAAATAAGAAGCATCCAAAATATTCTTAAAGAACAAGGACTCACATACACATGCCTCAGTCACACTGTTTCATCTGCAACAAGAAATTATGACCACTGAATTCAGATTAAACACTTTAATCAACTATAATAAGTCAATAATCATATATAAAAATCTGATTCATGCATCAATTACATACATTATACAATAGTCACATTATGCAATGCTTACATTCTTTTGAGTTGGTACCTGCAAAAACATATACAAGTTACAAGAGCATTTTACTTAATGAGTGTGATACTCTTCAGTAAAAACAATGCTTCTGTCTTTCACATACCTGCTAAATATATACACCTCTAGGTCTGCAGTATTTTTTCGTACCTCAAAATATGAAGCACCTGGAAGCTTTGAAGATTAGTAGGCCCAATGTCTTGTTTTTAGACTTCAGTTCCACTGCAAAAGTAGGTTTTTGACATAGAAAATAAATGAAATAAAATGTCAACTGTAGTTTAATGCTTGAGGAGCTTCTACACTTCTTATTAAATACATCAGAAAACTCTTCATTTGCAGATTAATTAGTTAAGGTGCTACCTATTGCATATTAAATACTTTCAATGATTGCATATGGATTATTAAAGTTATAAATCTGTGAAAATGGGGGCTTTCAAAGTGTGCTGACAGACCCTGACATCTACCGTCTCATGAACCAGCAGCACTGTGATCCTTTACCTCTTACTTCAAGGAGATCGAGTGAAAGAGCATGCTTTACACTTCACTTACACACATGTGAGACACCTACTGTATCTATAAGACATGAGAGCACGTGGACATCAAAAGTTGTAGCTTGAATTACAAATCAAGGGAGGCTGCTTTTCCTAAAAAGTTACAAAGGAAGATAAAAGCTCTAGAGTGACAATTACTAGGTATAGTAAAGACAATAGTTTTTTTCTTTGTTTTAAAGATTACCCTTGCTAAAGATTAAGAACCCTTGTAGGGATGGTAGGCAAGGGGGTGTGAGGGTGCTTGGAGTTGGTGAAGGAAGGATGTGAGGAAAGCCAGTCTGTCACTGATGAGCTAAGTTTTACTTAGGTTTCTATTTGTGAGACCCTTCTAATTACAAGGCAACATTTTCATAGCTGGAAAATTACAACTAAATCACTTACTACCAAAAGCAATAGATGTAGTTATGTATAATCTATGGATAATACTACATTCATGGGAGGATGGCAAATCTAGGCTTAATGTAGAATATAGCAGCAAAAAGCAATACGTATTTCATGAATGGGTAACACATCATTTTATGTACAATTCTAAGATATGACCCTGGAATTCAGTAAGTGAAACTTGAAGCTTAAGTGGTAGGAAGTTCAATACTTTGAAGTGGAATTTCAGATGTGGAAGGGGAACTGGCTGTGAAATAATGCTCTTTTAAAATTATAGCAGAGCCATTTTAATTATGCAACAAAAATGTATTAGCTTAAAACAGGTGTGAGATAAATATCAATTCTGTAATTTTAAAAAATCCTTATTGGTGGAAATATTTTTGAGCATGCATTTTTCAAATCATAAAAGCAAAAGTAAAATGTTGAAAGTCTATTGTGTTGTGCAGTACTTAATGAGTACATGTATTTTATTTCCATTTCTAAACTACTAACAGAATATACCATTAGAACACTTAAAAGTTGCATTTTGAAAAATAAACTAAGGTGATCTTTTTGGCCTTTTTTCTACAATGCTAGAAATTAAAAGCTATTCTGCTTGCACTTTGGCCCAAATACAGGAAACACTGACATGATTACTCATTTTTACTTTTTGTTTTTAGTTAATTACATTGACCAATTGGGAAAATATATGTTGTACTCTAGGTTATGAGTGAAAGTTCACAAACATCAGAACAGAACATTTTTAGGCAGTGATAAATGTAGATTCAATTTTCAATACACTTCTTGCCTCAGATTTAAAGATAAAAATACTGATTCAGTTATAACCAAATCATTCATGTATGAATAAACCTAATCTTTAACAGTTCTTACACATGAAAAGAATCTCTCCTTAAAAATGAATTTCCTCATAAAAAGAAGAGCAGTCCTTGAACCACACTTTTTACTGAGCTCTATTTATATAAAACATATCTCCAATACAAAACTGACATCTTGGTTCATTCTATAAAGAGCAAATTTGGCCAAAGCATACAGATAATCTGTCATAATACTGAAAAAAGAGCTTCAACTATATTAACAACAGAAAAAACAAATACTAAGAATTTTGTAATACTTAATGTTAACTAAAAATGGTACCATGTTAAAAAATAATAATTACCAAGACCTCAAATGGGGAAATTAAATTCTACTCCAGGTTTAGAGATTTACTACAGGAATTTATAAGCAGAGGAAAAAGTTATTTAGTAGAAGCTATTCTTGCTTCTCCATTTCTTCATTTAAAAACATTATATAATTTTTTTGTATTTGGAAAAGTTTTTCAGAATTTCAAAATGTTTGCTCTCATAGGAAAACTAAAGAAACTACAAAAATACAAATAACTGATTTTAGATGACAAATATAAGCTTGGACACTATCTGATTTAAAATATTAAAATGAGCAAAACCATTATATCAGCTGTATATTTAACTTTCAATGAAGACATACCAGAGATAAATACCAGATAAAAATGTGGTTCTTTAAAAGATCAGGGAATATATGTCTCCATATAAAGGTGAAATTTTCTTTTTAAATTCAAGACATATATTCAGTGTTTCATAGTTAAATATTTTAGATTTTTAAAGTAAAAAATTAGCGAATGATTGGTAATATTTTTACACAACTGTTTTTCACTTTAAATTTTAGACTAATTTTGTACAAATATAGTTAATTCGTGGAAGTAATCAACACTTTTTGGGAACAGACTTTTTAAAAAAAGCCAACCTATAATTTTGTAATAAATCAATTCTTTAAGGGTGGATGTATAATGTCATGCTAGTAAAGATTTGTTCTGAAAACTCACTCCTTTAGTAACACTTATTTTGGTTCAAGACCCTAATGCAACCATCTGTTCTTTTACTTCTGTAACTTGAAACCAAGCCTAATTCTTCATTCCCAGAATTTGCCCACTGCTTTGGGTTATCAGGCATCAGATGATATACTTTTTTCCCAAAAATTACCTTCAGATATAACTTATTATTTTCCTTGCTAGTGATTTAAAGGCATTCAGAATCTCAACAAAACAAATTAGCTTATCTTCTGCTTATAGCTTAAACAAAATTCAAATGTTAAGATAAAAAATTAATTCAAGAAATCCATGCTGTTGTGAAGCTAATGAAGCTTCCTAAAGTAAAAAGGGCATTGAATCACTATTTTTGGAAAAAGAGTAAAAGTTTGATACTGGGATAATATATGGAAGCAGCTCATTCTGAAACCAAGGTACACATAGTCAAGAGTGATTTGAAGCAGCTTCCCTATCACAAACCATAACGGTAGCAACGATAATTTGTTTTGCAATGATGGAACACAGTATTTTCAAATTAAGAAATTGGTATCCTCATTTTAGGGGCAACCAGTTGTTTTTAAATGTTCTAAAAACACATTTACATGTGAGGTATATGCATCTATTCAATATACAGATACATGAACATATACTCATGTATATATATATAAAATATGGACTTTTTTTTAATAGTGTTTAACTGCAGCTAAATACATCTACAAATTAACTTCAGAGAAAGCAACCACAGTATCAATTCTGCTTTACAAGAAATTGATGCCTGAGGAGTAAGTCATGTACTTCTGAAGGTATTTCTGAGCCTATGGCAGACTAGTGGGCCAGCACCAGCACCTAAGTGGACCCTAAGAAACTGCTAATTCTTTGAGAATCTGGCCCATTTTCACTTTAAAAGTTTAGATTATTTAGCTCACTTCAAAGGTCACTCTTGACAGTCTCTGTTAATATTTACAGGTAAAACAGTTTTTTACCACACAGCAGAATATGTAAGGAAACCTGATAATGGAGTCTCTTTCAGTAACAAGTTTTTCTTCTTTTTTCCCCCAATTATAAATGCAGTACAATCAGCCTATTAACTATTGGAGAATTTGCCAGCTTTCCTGGACGGTTCGTATGGCACTCTGAGAATACTGGGTGTTTCTTCCATTACCCTTACGAGGAGGTTGTCGATGTAGTCCTCGAGTTCCCGGATGTGGGTGTCCTTCCTCCTAAGAAGCTCTTTGTGCTTCACTAGTTCCTGTAGAACTTCCTCATAGGTCAGACTGCGATACCCTGCAGTGGCATCAAAAGGGTTGTTGTCCTGGAACAGGACATAGGCTGTCACTTTAGCAGATTATAGTATTGGGCACAAACTAAGAACGAATGAGATAGTTCACAGAACGGCTAGCTAGTTCTGAGGCAAGGACTAAGGCAAATATATGAAAGCCTTGGTTATGATTCTGAATTCTCCTAAAAACTTTTTTACCATGTGTACAGTGCCCTAAGAGATTGACCATATACTTTAGAGTAAATTAAGAGAAAAAATGTTCTTCAATAAATAACTAAAATAGAGAAAAACTAAAGATCTCTAAGAATTAACTTAGAGACTGTAAGAAAAATATACTTTACACAGTAGTCCTCATGGAACTGTTTCCATTGAATCGTGACTTAATTATGCCCTTGGCTTTTTATTGAAGACAGTTATAAGAAGCAGCAGTACCAAATCTATTTCTCCAACTTGCTATGTTATGTTGAAGGCATTCAGAATTAAATCAATGAGGATTCTTCTAAGAAATGCCATGGCAGTAACTTCTATTTTAATTTAGATGAAAACAGAACTTTTTTCTCTAACTAGTCTCTTCCTCCTCCTAGGACAAATACTTAAATCATATTTCCCTTTTTGCCATGGTTATCAGGAAACTCAGAGTTCAACAATGATCATGTTAATACTTAGGATTAGTGTATCTGCATTCTTTCCCATTTCATTTATTTACTATTTTGCTAACCTTATTCTATTGATGAAAATTCATTTTACACAAAAATATAAATAAAAAAGAAAAAGACACTGACTTAAATATTATTACAAAGCATTCTAACATTGAAAGAAAACTATTTCTCAGGAGTGGCTTCAAAAAGGCACTGTAATGTCAACTATTCATAGTGCACAGATTTTTCATTATGTAAAATATAAATGCCCAAAAATAAATTAGCAACCTTTATGCCTTTTTATACATAGCTCTGTCACTTAACTCAGCAACTTTAAATGGTTTTCATCACTCTCTTTCAAAACGTTTGATTTGGCTTTAAGGAAAATAAACTAAAATACTGAGGAAATTAGTCTTGAGTTTAAGGACTAATTCTATCTAGTGTCTTTAGTGGAGGAGGCAGAATGGGGACTGGTGAATAGAGGAAGACCTTTTTCTCCATTTTTTTCCATAGAAATTAAAGTTGTCTTTCCATTTTCAGTATCTATTTTAATTTGCTATGCAAATTTTTTTGAAGTACAACTTTTTATGCCCCTGCCCCTGGCCCAGGCACCATGATTTCCAACACCAGAGAGACAAATTAGAGAACAGATATCAATATAATGCTTGGGTTACCAAAGCACGCTTCCTTCTATGGGATAAGGGAAAAAATAATCAGGACTGAAAACTTCCCCAATCTCATAAAATCTCTCAGGTTTTGTAGAGAAGATATAGCTTGTACAATGCCTTCAAAGATTTTGCTAGGCAGAAATGGGTAATGGGCATCTCAAGCAGCGGACTCTGCTTGTTCAAACGAGGAAACAGGTTCAAGGCATAGTGGTCAACAGCAGTAATCAGTGTAGTACGGCTGGAAAATAAAGTTCAGGATAGGGCACAGAGGCTGAAATGGTAGGCTCCAAATAGATTATCAAGGGCATTGAATGCTATTACTAAAGACTTTTTAGACTGATTGCTTGGGAGCTAGGAAGCCATTAAAGATCTCTAAACAGGAAAGATATGTTAAATCTAAGTTATAGGAAAATTAAATGTCAGCAGTGGGTAAGATCATTTGGAGGGGCTGCAAAGAATCACAAATCTTTTGAAATATTAAAGACAAGAGTTAATAAGAGCCTCCACTAGATTAACAGAATGAATAGAGAGATGCTAAAGAGAAGTGAGTTCAAATCAGTAACATAATTTAAAACAACTTATTTGAGCAAACTGGAACAGACACAATTCTAAGATGTGTATTACATCTTTATCCCCAGAACACTTCAGAATATTGCTTTGCAAAAATTAAAGGACAATCCTGGTGACAATTGTTATCTTACATTTATTCTCTTCTCTTTCAGATCAAATAATTTTTTGTAAGCATAAGAACATATACAAACTCAGTATTTACTAGTTAATTTAATTGATCACGAGTAGTTTAGAAATATAAAGCTTATTAATTTCCTAACCACATTCTTATTAAACATTTATTATATTAAGCAGGTTTCTACAGAAAAGATAAGACATACTATTGAGGTAAATATAGTTTTTTAATTTACTAAAAATAAGATATAGTTTCTTTAAGCCAAGTAATTCTCCACAGATTTGAGACAGAAACCACCCAGGTCTGACTCAATCTTTATCTGATAAATGACATGTTCTCCAAGGTCCCTTTCAATTCCAAAATTTCCTGGTCTACAAAATGATTTTTTCAGAACTGCATTTGAAAAAATAACAGTGTCCAACTAAAGTAATTTCATTTTTCTAATAAAATATTTACTGAAAAACAGGAGTTCTTATGAGAATTGCAGAGATTAATGAAATTAAATGGGATTCATTACTACTTCGTTGACTGTTTTACTTTTTTTCTTAAACATTGCATTGTAATAATAGCATTGGTCTGAGTCACTCTAACCGTAATCAAATTATGCATATATGAACTGGTTTTTCTCCAAATTAAGTGATTATATACAGTTAGACAATCATTTATATTATTTAACACCATATCAGTACGACCAGATAATGTAGTTAAAATTTTTTTTTATTTCTCTAAAGACAATGAAGAAAGACATGTCAAAAAATTCTTGTTTTGATATAAGTAGTTTAAATTAATACCATGATACAAATCAAGCTAACAATTTAATCTCTTAAAATAATCAATTACTATCCAGAATACTGTTCTATCTACACTATAGCCATAATTTAGAATACACAAATCCAGTACTTGGCTTATTTTTTCCCTCACAACCATCTAATATTTATGTATAGATAGATTTCCTGGAAATACACTTCTGACCTTTTCAATAAATTTTCCATTGTTCTTTCATGTCAAAATTTTGCCCCAAATTTCTGCATCAAGTTTCTAAGCAGGAAAACATCTTAGAAACACATGTACTATAAACCATATTCTGGAAAATAATATAAAATAATTAAAAACAGTTTTATGCTTAGTTCCAGATTTTATGTCATATTTGAAAATTATGTAAACCTCCTAATTTCAGGCAGAAGGTTCTTAAACTGACTTACATACTCAATAAATATATAAATCCTTCTGTTTGTTGATATAAGTCCAAATCAAATACTAAAGATTAAGATTATCATATACAATGGGAAATGAAAGCATTTTCTCGTTACAAAAATTACTTCACTTAAAGAAAAAAACTCAGGAAAATACACAAACTGTTCTTTCAAAAGATACTTTTGATTCTTAGAAAAACTGCTTAAACTGAGAAATCTCCAAACTATGGTAAAGACTCAAATAACCTACAACAGGACTGACTCCTAAGTCCTCAATATTTTTTCCTCTAGCACTCCTCAGAGATAGTACACATGGTTTTAACATGTCTTCTTATGTTGAAATCTAATGCAAATTTTTCTTCTCTTCTTCCCTTTTCACAACCAATCCTTTTTTATTCCTACCCAACCGGTGTTAAAAATTTCCATATGCAGATATAAGAAAATAAGGACTGGGTGAGAGAGTAACAGAATCATTACATGAAATTTTCTAATCAGAATTTTAAAGAATATAGTTGTACAGAAGACTGAGAATTACTAGTGATCTATTTTTACTTTACACACAGTCTAGCCTTTTAAACTAGGAAATGTATATTTTTTACAATATTTAAATTTAAACAAAAGCAAATTATCAGGACTCAAAATAACTGAAGATTTAAAGAAAGGTTGTCCTGGTAACCAAATATTGGTGGGGTACTAACTGACATCCAAGGCAACTAGAGGAGAGAGAGAGAGATAAGATGAAGGCTTGGCATTCTCTGATCATCTCATTATTGTTCTAATGAGGAACTTTGCTCTGGGAATATCATCTCAGCTACTTTCACATCTTTTGTCCTACTCCCTTCATCTCCCTTTCAGTTCTTAATTAGGCCTTAAAGAGCTCACACTGCCCTTTCAACTGGCTACTGCTCCTGTTTAAACACTGTGCTTTCACAGACAGGTGTTGGCACTAGCATATAAGACATACAAACTTAATTACAAAATACTATGTCCAGAAGGGGGAAAAAAATAACTTGGTAGATGGCTATTATGGGAGAACTTAATGTAAATTACTTCAAACATCTTGTAATCTTCAACATAAAAATTGTTCAAATACTTTTCCTCAATAACGATCAGTATGAGGATGAGCTTTCTCCTCTTAATTGTATCTTGCAGTAAATTAACAGCACCTAGTAATCCTTTAACTGTCATTTAGAATAGTTAGTATTCCAGAGAAAAATAATCACACATCAAGGATTCTTTTATCACCTTTAAATCCTTTAACTAAAACAATTTTCACATTTTATTTCTTTAAAGAATTCTAAGGATGCTTTTACAGCAATAAATTACAAGATTGGAAAAGTACATTTACGAGTACATAGAAATTGTAATTAAGGTTACTTAATAAACAATAGCTGCATATTAAATTGATTTTTTGATGTTGCATTTTGTTTGAGATTAAGTAACTGCCTGATAGAATTCATTTTACTATCTGATCAAAGGCTGATTACATATATTCTGACATTTCTCTCCAGACTGCCATATTATAAAGAATTGAGTATTTATGAAACATCAAAACTTATAAATCATTTACATAAAATAGCAAAAACAGTACAAAGTCCTCTGCTTCCATAATATTTTCTACAATTTTAAAGACAAATAACTACACTTAGAATGGCTTATACACCACCATGGTTTCTTCTAGGCACATCACATCATAGAAAATTGTGATACGTTACTGCTTTAAAAAATCCTTATTATACATCTGGATCACACACATTAAGGACAGATGGTTCAAACAACAACCATCAGTCTCTTGGAATAAAGGCCCTATTTCTGCTATTCAGTGAGAATTTACTTTTCTACCAAGAATATGTGCCCATATTTTTGTAAAGTAACTTATTCTCTATGTTTAATACATTCAGCATTGACTGAAGATGCAATGGAACTCTGAACAGAGATCCAAACCTGTACTTCAAATAACAATAAAATGAAGTTATGATATCTGAACAATCCTTACAAAATATGTGAGCTAATTTAGCTGGTTGCTTCCAAGCCTATTAATACATTTGGTTTTGTTCTGACTGGGAATTTAAGTGTCCTAAAGGTTCTTTCAAATCATTTCCTGGTTAACTGCATCTCTTAACAGGATGCCTTTCCTATTCCTGAATGTTAACAGGCAGTTTTATTTTTTCTTCAAACTTTGTCAAAACAACAAAGTGTTTTCTCCACATACTTTTAGTTCATAACTATAGTGTTGACCTTGACATGCTTTCATATTAATTTAAATAGTCTGCAAACAAAATATGTATTATTCTAAATTGGCTTCAATTATAATTATGTTTGCTAGAACTTACACAGATCGTTACCTAAGTCATACCCTACCATATACTAAAGACAAAGTTTGAATTTTGCTTTTCTCCTTTCTCCCCAAATTACCATGCTAAGCTGTAGTCCACAGGTAGCCGAGGGATTCAGAGAGATAAAGACCTTTTTAGAAACATGTTCTGGACAGAAGGCTGGTTTGTGGCTTACTTTCTGGTAATTCTCTAACCCCCTCTGCAACTTACCAGGATTTTCCTCAGGTCTTCATTACTTGTCGGTTTCATATGAAAACTGAGTAATGAGAGACAAACATAAATGTTAGAAGTGTATGATAGTCGACGTGGAAGAAAACATAAAAACAGAACATTTTTAACCAACATTGCAATAACAATTTCTCAAGTCTTTCTCAGATGAGTGAAATCTAATCCAGGATGTAGAAAAAAAGCAGTGTTTATTCCTTCCACATTCTAAAGCATCTACAGTTTTAAACTTTGAAGTAAAACCTTTCAGTTATTTGTCAGAACTAAAGAAGTATAGTTTCTACACATCTTTAAACATAAATTATTTTAGTTATTTTAGCCACCTTTTTCATTTCATATACATAAGCACATTCACTCACCTTAGGCGCTCTGACATAAAACTACATGGAGAATTAAATAAATTTAGATTGGAAATATTGTAGCATAAAAGTTAAAGCAATCTTTTAAAAAATTCTATAGATGTTAGAAAAATTAACTGTTAAATATTATCCTATCAGTGTGAATGAATTCAGAGTTGTACGAACCATTGCTATAATTAATGTGATTTCTAAGTAGCTGGTCTTCAAAATTTAAATACCCAAATGAACCAAAACAAAATGGATATCTTCCATGAAGAGTAAGAAAACATCACAGCTGAATGCTATAATCGCTTCCTTCTTTAAACATGTCCATTAGGAAGAGGAATGCAATAAAAAAGAAGCGAAACTTCAAAGCCATCTGATGAGTAAATATTTCATCGTTGCTATTCAAGCTTAACTTTTACCCAGCACTTAAGAGTATTAGCCATTAGAACCTCTACAAAGCATTACTGTCCTAGGAACGTTTTTTATCTCCTCCCCTCAAAAAAAATAAAATGTATTTTTTCATTATCTGTACTTTATCAGTGAAATAATTGTAATCCTTTGGAGAAATTCAATTATACAACTTTTGATTGTGTGCACAAAAAGCCTGGACACTGGATACAACGTCTGGAAAATATCTGTTATTACAGGTATATATCCCAAGCTGTAAATCTATAGGGCATACATGAAGGAACTACCACCTCAAGAGAATTTCTCAAATATCCAAGGTTTCATTTGTTATGACTAAGATTTGTAGAACAAGCTTCCAGAACTGGTTGCTGACTTTTTCTAGCTAAAACTCTTGTGGATAAATTTAGTTATTTCCATAGAGCTGGGTGACATGGTAGAGAAGATTGAAATGTAGTTTAAAATACCTACAGTGCACCATGTATAGGCCGATGCAACTGACACTTTCTCATTCCTATATCCCACCATCTTTTGGTGTTCTGTATAGTCCCAGACTGGAGTCACTGTCCCAGCAAAGCCTCAAGGCCCTAACAAAAGAACTGCTTAAAGGAAAACAACAAAAACAAAATCCAAAAAGCCATTATCATATAGCACATGTAGGCCTAGAGTGCCATGGCAGCAGCTGCTAACACATGCAGTTCCCATCCTCTGATTTCCAATTCAAGGCAGTCAACATCACAGTCCAGTGGGACTAACATCTCCTTGCCCCATTACCTCACAGCATGTTGCTTTTTAATAGGTCAAGAAATGTGCTCGCCTGCCTCTCTCTCCATCTGACTGTGATATTCAGAACATAATGATTTATGTTCAGTTTTGACGGTAAACCACGGTGGTTACAAGCAGAGAAATGGTTGAGGGCGCTGGAGCCAGGTAGTATGAATTCAAATCCCGGTTCTGCCTACACTCGCGGTGGGACCTTGAGCAAGTTACTAACCTTTGAATGTGTCTGGGTTCCCTCATCTGTGAAGTGGGGATCCCAACATTATCCACCATATAAGACTACTGTGAAGATTAAATGAGTCAACAGCTTAGCTCTATGACTAGCAAGTAGAACATGTTCAATAAATCATGTTATTTAGTAAACATTTCCATAGCATTTGGACTGTACCAGATACTATTCTAAGCAGCTGACTAAAATTAACTCATTTAATCTTTATAACCATTAAGGTAGGTATGATCTTCATTTTCAGAATAAGGAAATGAGTCACAGGGAGGTTAGGTAACTTGCGTGGGGTCAAACAGTTGGTAAGTGGTGGAGGTCTCTGGCTCTGAAATCTGTCCTCTGATCTGGGACACACAGCCCTAGCCCCGTTCTCTGCACACAGAGCTACTCAGTGAGCCGTGGCGGCACTGCTGAAGACTTGAACCTGAGGACCCACGGAGTGATCAGAAAGCAAACACCACCTCGTTCAGAGGAAGCACCGTGGAGCTGCACTTGTGGGAGGCAAGAGGGGAGCACTCTTGAGAATTAAACTCTTAGATTCCACAGAGGAAAGAAATGTTCTACCACAGCAATTAGTCAAGGAAGGCTTATGTCAAGGAAAAAGTAGGATTTAAAATCACATGAAGGATAGGTTTGGTAGGCCAGAGAAAGAGGACTCTGAAGACATAAGTGATGGCCTGGTGCTGCTGGACACGGAAGAGCCAGGGACACAAGGCAGCGGCTGGGAAGGACCCTTGAAAGGTTTGGATGGAAAAGATGGGGGCCCTCAGGCCTGACTCTCACAGCAATTGGCAAGTTTTTGACAGCTGTAATCCTTTCATAAACATCCTCTAAATGCTTGAACTAAATTGCTGAACTAAGAAATAGAAATACTGGTATAGTATTTATTGTCATAAGGGTTTTTAAGGAACAGACATTTAGGACAAAGATTTTATTAAAATCACAAAACTAACAATATGTCATATCCAGGGGATTTAGCCTATAGACCTCAAGTGAAACTTGTAACAACCTGAAAAATGTCTGAGATTTCTTAAGAATGATTCAAGTGAGAAGTTCGCAACTGTAAGGGAAAATGGTGTCTAATGTAGCAAGGCCCGGAGACTCCCCATTATACCTGAGGTAACCTGAGTTCTCGGACACTCTCTCCAGCAATCCGCAGGGCAGAGCTGAGGGAGAGGGAGCTCTTGTGTTGGGCATTGTCTGAAATCTAAAGGCAGAACCCCTCCCTTGTGGTCGGCTTTATACTCACACACTGACGTGTCAAACACATGATGAACTCAGTCATTCATGGCTGCCTTTTTTGATCTGTCCTTAAAGGGAAAAAAGAGTTAACTGAACTGGATTGAATTAGCTTGAGAAAAATAAAATGTCTCTATTTATCGAAGTGTGGCACCAATTTGTGATATCTTTCTCTTTGGACTGCTATCCTCAATGTCAGACAAGATATTGTATAATACAGTCTGACTGCTCAACTGAGTTGTTGACAAGTTAAGGAAAATGGTGTTTTAATCAGGTAAAAATAAAGTTAGACATATGCACTCTGAAAAGGCCTATACAAATTAAAATTTCAAAATTAAAAAAATTAATTTTAGAAATCAGAACTGAAAGGAGTTTCGGGATGGCATAGGATTTTAAAGTAACTTTTAAACTGATAAAAAATATTTTAAATTCATATTTTAAAAATAATTTAAAGGAATAAAATGCTTACCTTACCATTCTGAAGTTTTCAGGTAAAGTCTATTTTTTATACTACGATTATTTCCAAATGTTTAAAATAATTTTTCCAAATAAACTCTAATTTTTTATTTTAAAATTAAGAGAACTCAAATATTTATCTCAAGGAATCATTAGCATCTCTTCTTCTATAACATCACTTAATTTATTTTGAAGTGAGAATAAACATTGAATAAAGAAATGTCAATTGGTAAGAATGTAAAACTGTCTCTCAACTTCTGCTACGGACAAATCTTCCACAGGCCAGAAAAGCAAACCAATCTTCGTAAAGTGGTAAAACTGACCACTGCAGAAATCACTAAGGCATCTATCTGGCTGTGGCCAGAGCTTTTTTCTTTGTTCCTATTTTCTCTTTTTAAAACATGAGTACATTCTTTTGGAGCAAGAACACCTAAGACAGAGAAAAGACTACTGAGAGTGTAAAAGTGGTTGTCAAGACAAAAAAAAAAGAAAACCCACAAAAGAGATCTATTAAAACTGATTAACTGTCTTGTTCGCAAAGACAAGGAAGCTGTGTATATTCCTGGCTCCAGGATTTTAACTCTTTCAATGAGAAGTCATGTAAGAATACTTGAAGCTCTTGTGAAGGCATTTAAAAACAAGTATTACATCTTCCATATCTATTTCCAAGCCCCATTCCTGCTGAAATGATAAAGCTAAGCCCACTTGGCCTACAACTTAACACATTTTAACACATGAATTCAAATTTTCTGCAAAATCCAGAGGTTTCCCACCTGGCTGGCAGGGGGCAGAAGGGATGGGATAGAAGAGTAATTTTCTCAAATACCATTCAATTCCTCAATGTGTACAGGAAATAAGTATAACTAAACTATCACAGAACTTCTGCCATTAATTATTTTCAAAGGAAAGACTCCTGTTGATCTTGTTTCACTGAGAGAGTGGGCTCTAGAGACCTGGGCCTTCACTTTGGTGACAAATGTAGTTGGGGGAGGGGAGGTATAAACTTAGAACTGTAAAAATACATAAACCCTTTAATGAGTCTGAAAAGAAAAATAGCCCATTTACAGTGAAACCAGGGCAAAGAATAATGACACTAGGCCAAAGAAAAATGCCATTTGTTCTTACTGGACTTTAGCCAGGGTACCAGGCACATTTCTGAGCACTTTACATGTTAACTCACTTAATCCTGTAACAATCCTATGAGATGAGTGCTACTTTTATTTCCATTTACAGAAGAGGAAACAGGCACAGAGGAGTTAAAGCTTACTCAGGAGAGCAGAGTTACTGAGTGGCGGTCAGGAGCCAGACTCCACACTCAGCCCCTGCAGCCATGAACCGCGCTTCTTCCACACAGGTGTTCCCAGCGTTCAGGCCCACCGTGAGCTCAGATGGCTGGCTTCAAGGAGTCCACTACAATTTCCTGAGGTTTCTTCCAATCAGAAACGACTACCAAAAGTCCAAGCCTTAGACGACATAAAGAGATAAGACCAAGCTGAACAGCAATAGGCTTTGAAATAGCTGTGACTAGTTCTGTCTGCCCTTTGTGCACCCCGGGAGGCTGACCTCCAGAAAGCACATAACTGG